TAATGACGATTCATTTATTAAATAATGAAGTTACAAATCGAAGTATAACTTGTATTATAAATTTTTGAATGCTAAAAGAATAGAGGCATGTCGTTCTTAAGAAAGGAATCGTTAATGAGCAGATTTTTGAGAAATCATAGATTCCAAGGAGAATTAAATGTAGAACAAGCAATGTCATCACCGTCCACCGTAAGTGATGGTATAATATTACGTAAAGATCATTACTAAAAACATATAATTCCAGGAAAATTTTGAGGATATTTGGATGAACGATATAGAAGAAAGCAGTATTAGTTCTGAGTACAGTTCTGAACCCGTTATATGCCATATAAAAGAGAGACCAACGATAAATCAGTTGCCATGGAATAATGAAGAGATAACTGTAGCCCTGTCCAATCTTCCAGCAGGGAAACAGGCACTCTCTGTTATTCCTAATCTTCACGGAGATAATTTGAATAAAATTTTGACTGAATTTCTTGACACTAATTATAATGAAGTGACATTGAATATCCAAAAAACTACGATCTCTTCATTTGCAAACGGGTAAATAAATTAATCAGCATTAATCATACCAATCGGAAGAAATATATATATATATATTGGTGTAGTCACTGCTAATGGCGGATATTTCAAAACCTGACCGAGGAGATACTAATTTATGATTAATGTCAATTGGGGTACACTTTTGTAATACTGTAATTTTTAATACAAACAGAATATACAATTACATTTGCTCATAATAACTGTAAATAGTTTATTACAAAAATAATAATCGTATTATGTTACATTAAGAGTTATTAATTTGTAATACTATCGATTCTCGACTCGACCAGACGCATGTTCGATTAACGCTTTCTGAAACAGATACAATCACAGTTGAAGCGATTTGTCACGTGAAATCTAATTTCCTTCTAGATTATCCCATTTTACCTTTATCACAGGTATGGCATTCGTCAATTGTAATCCTATACTTCTTGCTAACACAACGGGAGCTGCTGTTCCTTTATACAATCTATGAAGCGCATCGATAGCGAGCATTACTGGAACGTTGTATCGTTGCCTTACTGTTTCGTATTTCCTTAAAAACAGCATATTTCCAAGTGGGGATCCGGATATAACAGCATCTCCAAGAAGTTCTACTAATGCTGTTACGTCTCCAAATCCGAGGTTCACACCTTGACCAGCCAATGGATGAACTCTGTGCGCCGCATCTCTAAAAATTTCGTTTAATCAAACTACCTTTATTACTAAGTATAATATAAATACAGTCAATAACAAGTATCAAACCACGCTGTGTACAAATTTATTATGCAATAGAGCTCATTGAATAAATGTTTCCTTATTATTTTGGTAATTAATACCGAAGAGGATTAAAGAAGACTTTAATGAGCACAGTTAAAACACTTTGCCTTAAGCAATTATTTTATATAAGTTCAGGAAAATATGACGCGGCTGTATAAAAAACGTTTGTTAATTTCAACAACTTAAAATTCCCAATTGTCGAAGAAAATAGCTGTACCAAACTAAACTTGTAATGAACGAAAGCATGGCGTACGAACAAATAAATAAAAAAAAATATGTAGAATACACGCAATTCTTTTTTACTTACCCTATTAAAACAGTTCCAGTTTGAACATAATTTACGGAATGTCCGAATTGTAAAGGGAAAGCAGCGCGCGATCCTTCTTCGATAGCTAAGACGGACGGTGGTAACTGCCTTGTCACACCAGTTCGCAAGGATAAACCCTCAAGTAATTGATGAAGCGCCCGTAATCCACTTTCGACTATACCATCCTTTGGATAAACTTTCCATAAAGCCTTGTTTATGTTATCGACAAACTCCTCTTCCGAAACTTTTAAGAGTCTTTTAGCTTCACTCGTTGGTAATGACCACACGAGAGAACTAAGCGAATCTGTCAGCTATAACAATAAACAAATAAATAAGGTCTATATGAACATTAGCTAAAATTAATTCTCGAGGATGAAAGACGTTACTGGAAGTAATGCTATCGGTCCCGTTGGTAAAAACCTTTGCCAAGCAACGATATTATCTGTAGGCTGAAATATGAAAGTACAATTATAAAACTGCGATTTTCGTTAATTTAATTACTTCAAGATAATATAATTTTTACCTCTGACAATTTCAAAGTAGCGACTACGCCCATTTGATTGTAATCCCATTTTATATATTGAGCTCCCATTGTTTGGCGAACCAATGAATTTGCACCATCCGCTCCGACCTGAAAAATAAAGCTTCAAATTTATTATACTATCCAGAGAGGTAATGTAAGTATTACGTTACAGGAAGGGGAAGCAATGGGAGGCTGGTGATGCATTCAGAGACTGGAAATAACTTCAGTTCTCTTTTGTATCTCAGTGAGCATACTGAAGCAGTTAAAATATTTTATTATCTCTTACGTATCCATTACTTGCTATCACTCATAAAAATAATACTCGAGTAAATTAAGTAAGGATACAATAATAATCGAGTGCAGTTTTTCCTCAAAGGATGTTGTTATCTATTAAAGGAAAGAATGTATTCTGAGAATATAGGTGTGTAAACGTGTTCCTTAGTTTTGCACTGCATTCTTTCGGATTAATAGAAAAAAAATATTTTGGTAAAAATATAACAAGTTAAAATTTTCATTCATTGCATGCCATACATTAAGACTCAGAGCTAAATATATCACACTGTTTTGTAAACACCAAAGAACATGTGTGGTCCTGTTTTAAGACTGTAGTGGCAGCTAAAATAATCTTTAAGTGCTCGGAATTGGAAGCAAATGGTGCATAATTTAGTGGACATATAGTAC